GCTGCAGAGCGGGGATTGATCAGGATTTCAGCCCCATACATATTCCTGCTCTCTGATAAAGGGAAATCAATAGCTGAAAGAAATATTCCTCCGAGGCAGCAGACTCCAGCAGACCAGGGCTCACAAGCCTTCCCTCACCCCCTAAATCCCCCCACCCCGGTTCAAGCCTTGCTTTCCCCTGACAGCAAACCCAGGCAGTGGGAGAGAAAATTGCTTTGGGGGAGCTGGCTTGGGGGAAGACATGGCAGGACGTTGAGGAGAGGAGGCAGAGCCTCTCCTCCCACAGCTGCATCTCACCTCCCAAAGCATTGGCCTGTCCTGCATCTTCCTCCTCCCACTGGTGATCTGGCAAAGAGGGTTTTCCTCTTTCTTGGGGTGCTAGAGACCCTCCACCCACCCAAAGTCCTAGGCAGGGTGACACCCGGGGAGGCCGAGCTGCCTGGTACATCCACAGTCCATCACCTTCAAATGCCAGCAGCTGTGGCCAACGCTGCCCTGCGCTCAGCCCCTTCCCCTGTGCTGAGACCTGGAAACTCATTGCAGGTGTGGCTGGAGCAGCACCCTCCAGGTGCCTGTCCCATGGCGATGGGGTGGGGGCAAACAGTGTTCAGCCAGGGAGGGCTCTGCCTGCGGGCGATACAGCCCTGTGTGCCCATGGGTGCAAATGAGCACAGGGGCTCACCCCTGCAAAATACAGCCTGGGGGGGGTGGCGTGGGTCTGGGCCAGCCCAGACGGACCCTTCTCATGTCCTTGCTCCTGCCGTGCCTCAGTTTCCCTATCCATAAAATGGGCCTCATGCCTAGGAGCTTTCAGGTGCTTTGAGACCGCCTGCGGGGACGTGGCCTGCGCCAGGCACCTTCCTAGGGACAAAGCCCAGCTCAGTGTCACCCAGGGGAGCCCAGGGGCTGGGGTGGCCCTGTCCCTGACACCACAGGTGCCCCAAGAGCCCAGGGGACATGGGCAAAGGCCTCTCCCTGGAGCATCCCCATCCCCATACGCCACTGCAGAGACCCAACACACTCGGTGCACCTCAGCAAGCCCCTGCTCTCCCCGCTGGGGCCAAACACAAAGCCATTTCTTATCAGCACCTCAATTTATTTTAAGCTCTCAAGCCCTTCCAGGAAAACCCAACTCGAGCGAAGCGCAAAAGGGCCGGGAAGGCCTGGGGGTGTTTCCGAAAGCCACCCGCTGCCAGCTCTGCCCCCGCACCAAGAGCAACTGCAGGTCAAGGGGGAGGTTTGGGGACACCCTGTCCCAACTCCTGGGCACGGGGATGCCACCAGCACCAGCTGCCAGGAATTCCAGCTCCACGGATGGTCCAGGGACCGATGCTGGATGCTGCTGCTGGGATGCCAGCAACATCCCTGGGTGCTGGAGGGGTCAAGCGGGGGGGATATGGGGGAGGTTGTGCGGGTCACACATAGCACGATCACATTAGGTCTCAGCTCCGGCCGTGTGCTGGTGAGCTGCTGCCACCGGAGATGCTTATCTTGAGCCATCGCGGGCAGGCAGGGAAGGTGTGAAATTTTGGAGGGGTTGATGCTCAGGCACGAGCAGCACCGAGTGGGTGCTGTGAGCTCGGGGTGCAGGCAGGGGTGATGGCGGTGCCCGCTGTCTTTTTGAAGTGCTGGCAGGGAGGAAGCGGTGACATCTCGCTGCGGTCCCCGAGCACACTCGCTGTCTCAACCTCGCCGTCCCCAGCACCCTCCTTCCTCCTGCCCCACCGGCGGGCTGCTAACCATCGCCTGGGTGCTCGTAATGCACCCAAAGCCCTGCAAAGCTGTCCCCTGTGCACCCTGTCATCCCCCCACCACCCTACCACCCCCTCCTTGGGCACCCTGCCACCCTCTTGAGCACCCCATCACTCCCCCAGCACCCTGACATCCCCTCCAGGCTCTGCAGCCCCCCCAGGGTTCTGGGGGTGCTCTGGGGTCCCAGGACACATGTCCCTGTCCCAGCCCTGCCTCGCCTTTCCCCCTTGACCCCAGCACTATTTTGGTCTCCTGTCTTGATCTCAACCTCTTACTTTTCCTTTCCCTTCCCCTTCTCGCTGTCACCTTCCCATTTTCCCCTGCCTGGAGGGAGGGTGACAGTGGGGACCACACTGCAGCCCCCCCCGGGACACCCCCAGGTGCTGTGGGGCTCCCTCCATCCCCATGTCCCCCCCTGGGTGCTGTGGCTGAGCTTGTCCTCATCCTCGCAGCCTGCCCCATACCTTCATCCCTCCCTTTGCACGCAGTGACTCAAGGCCCAGGTTTGCCCCAGTGTCCCTCCAGTTCCCCCAGTGCCTGGGGAACTGGTTTGCCCTGGGGAGGACCCTCCCCAGTGCTGACTAAATCCTCCCCGGCCAGCCCTGGCAGTGCTGGGGGACACGGCAGGGAGCTCCCACTTCCCCCAGAGCAGCAGCCAGCTGGCTCGGCTGGTTTGGCACGTACATGTGCTTGCACACGCTTACACACGCATGCACACACACACTAACACATTGTAGCCGGCCCCGGGGGCTCCCAAGCCCCCCCATTGCTGCCCCTCATGGGAGCCCATGGTGCTGGAGGGATGCAGGGGCCGGATCCTGCTCCTGTGCTGGGGCCGGGTCAGGCCCCAGGTGCGGGGGGGGGCTGCTGGGCACCCCTCTGTGTCCCCTGTGTCCCTGGGGCTGTTCCTGAGGGGACTCAACTGGTACCCACTGGTACCACTGGGAAGTGGGGCTGTGGCCCTGGGGTGGCTGGGCAGGAGCCACCAGCCTTCCCCTTCTCCAGGGAGGGGCTGTGGCTGCAAGACCCCATGCAGGAAAATTTCCTTCTGAAGCAAACTGGTGTGAAAGGAAGTTTGTGCCCCAAAATGTCTTCCCTGCCACTCCCCACCTGGGTTGTGTTTCTCAAGCCGAACAGCTTGTCACTGTGTTCCCTGCAAAGGGTGCTGGAGGGAGAAGGAGAAATTGGCCTTTTCTAATCTTTCTCTGTGGAGCAGCTTTTGGGGAGGTACTGGAGTGGGTGTGGGACTTGTCCACTCCCCACTGTCACAGGAGCAGGGCAGCTCCTGTGGGTCAGGGACCCCACCCCGGAGAGTGGGGCTAGGGCTGGCATCACAGCTGGGAGCTGCTACGTGCGCTCACTGAACACTTCTCTTCAAAGCAGTGACCGTGTTAGCCACCAGTAAGTTTCAGAGTTAACGCCTTAAGGGGAGCCATTCATGTGGTCTCAGGCTGTCGGTCAGCCCTAGCCAAGGCTGCTGCTACTCCCGGCACTTTCTTTCAGGCTCCCTGTGCAGCCAGGGTGGGTGGCTGAGGTCCTGCTGTCCCCATGATGGGTGGCGATGGCACCTCTGCCACCCCCGGACGGGGCAGGAGAGCCCGACTGTGCGGGGCTTGGGGCTCTGCTGTGTCCCCATCCCATCCTGCACTGCTCCCAGTGTCCCCAGTGCCCTCAGCACTGGCAGTGGGGAACAACACGGTGACGTCCCTCTGCTTTCCTGGGGATTTTCTGCTCCGTGGGGACCCTGTTGCGGTGCCACCAGCGGCGGCTCCCGGTGCTGGGCCGTGCCCTGGCAAGGGAGACGAGTCCCTGCCACGGGGCCATGTCTATTA